GGCGGCGGCGGCGACCAACGCGCCGGGCACCAGCACCAGCATCACCAGCCCATCTGCAAGATCTGCTTCCAGGGCGCGGAGCAGGTAAGGCCCGGTGGGACTCCAGGGCAGCAGGCAGTGGACTCGGCCAGTGCTGGGACGGCTCCCGCTTTCCATGGTTCAGCACCACGGACAGCGCACCCTTCGGCCGGTCGGGTCCTGCCTTCTGAGCAGTGGCTGCCTTGTGGTTCCCCTTCCTTTTCTGTGAAAGCAGATGAAAATGTCCCGGTGGTGAATATGGGGCTAATTTGCTCCACACTTTTTCTTCACCACCTGGTTTTGTAGTTACACGTTCGTAGGGTGCTTTAATGATATTGTAAGGCCATAAGAATCTCTCGTGAACTACTCAAAGAATTTTGGTTTGTACGTAGAAGCAAAACTATAGAATGTAAGGTGAAGTCCATTAATGCACCCTGAGACCATGACTGGAGTTGAATCATGTCACAAGAGCAGGTTCTTTTCTTATTGAAGATTTTGGAGGTTGCGTCTTACTGATGTGAAAAGCACGTTACAGTTCTTTCAAGAGAGATAGGAAAGTGCTTTGAAAGAAAGGCAACTTAGCCAACAGAGTACTTTATATTTTGTTAGAAACAGAATTCTAGAACACCATTCAAGGTGCATGCAAACTTATATGAGAGTGATCATAAACAATAGAGGATAATATATCTCTTTTACAAAATGTGTGGGCTGAGAAAGCATTAGGCTTAATATTTTTAAAAGTAAGGAAGTTGTATAAGAATATGCATGCTTTCAGGGATATAGTGCCCTAAGTCAATATTTATGATGCTACATTTAGAAAAAGTAAAAGCATAATGCTATTGCAAGCTGCTTCCTGGGATGCCATGCATTTCTTCTTTAGCAATGATTAAGAATAACTACAGAGGAAATGCATCTGACCATCCACTTAAAAGTTATTAAAGAGATTTAATAGTACAGCTTTCCCCCAAGGGTATTGGGAGCTATATCTTGCAGACACTGTGTATGTTAGTAGAAACATTTATGTCATAACTCTCAGCAATATATATGAAATAGTTTTAAGACTTTAGTTTCATTCCCATCAGAGGTATAAAATTTTAATTTGCTTTTCTGGGATAGAGCTTGATGCTTGCATCCTTCTGGGTAAATGACTTTGAAAGAAAAAAGAAAGCAAGCTTTGTATTTTTAAATAAAGACACAAACACAAATATTCCTATTGACCTTTTTCTGTTCCAGGGAGAGCTATTAAATCCCTGCCGATGTGATGGGTCAGTTCGGTACACACACCAACTGTGCCTGCTCAAGTGGATCAGTGAGAGAGGCTCCTGGACCTGCGAGCTCTGCTGTTATAGATACCACGTGATAGCCATTAAGATGAAACAACCTTGCCAGGTAAACATGACATTTTGTTTTTCCAGAAATAATCTAGTTAACATGAGTGCACTTGAGTTTAGTTATTACTTAGGATATTTACTTATGCTACTTAAAACATTTTATGCAAATTGCAGTAAAAACAAGATTTAGAATTTGTAGAGATGTGCTTTGAGAAAGCAATTACATTTATCTGAGAAACTCAAAAGACATTTTAATCAAATGGTTTTCTCAATAATTTGTTATTTACTGACCAAATTGAAACCACTTTTGTTTCTAAAAGATCAAGTTGGTAAAATATCATATGCCCTATTCAAATCTATTTTTACTAATTAGAAATGTTACACAATGTATCTTATTAATATTTTGTTAATGGGTATAAACACTGATAAGCCCCATTTATGGAAAGCAAAACTTTACTACTATGGAAACTTTGGTTGAACCTATCAGTTCTAATCTGAATTACTCTTTTCATTTAACCAGGCTTTCTTTTTTCATAGACGATTTTTTTCACAGTTAAATTTTGGCCATTTCATTTTTTGCTGTATTCAACTATACAGTGGATGCAGAAGTATTTCCAAGAGTTACTTTCAATAATACTACTGGTATCACATATATTATTAAACTTTTGAATAAAATCACATGACAACAATGTACACAAATGCCCTGGGGGTGGGGGGGGAAACTATTTCTTTTTTTTTTTTTTCCTGGTGCACCTGATTGGGTTCTTTGAGTAGGCTGGTAGAATGTAAAACATGGAATATTAAGAATGACATTTTAAAGAAAAGTAGGGTAACATGTAAGTGATAAGGTCAGATAGTGAGATGGGACTGAAATTAAATAGACAAATGAAAAAAGTTAGTACAAAGACAAAGGAGATAATGAGAGGAACAGGAAGAGGGAATTGAAAAGTTGAGAGGGGGAAAATGCAATAAAATCCTGTTTCTATCTAAATCACCAAATGTGATTTGCATTGAGTAGTATAACATTATAGGAAATTGTAGTGTTTCCAGAAAGAAAGTTGAGCTAAAATATTGCTGCATTAATAATTTAAATTTCATAGTTTTTAATTTGCACATCCTTCATATAGTTTGCAATTAATTTGCATCTCTGGTAGTTGCCATTTAAGGCATGACTAACAAGCATGAAATAAAAATATGAATTTTCTCAAGCTGACCTGAGGCTTTTAAATTATTTGAAAAGAAGAAGCATGACTAATTCGGACAAGTGGTGTTATCATGCTGAAGATAGGTGCAAGCCTGACACATTTCCCCAGAACCTTTAATTGATCAAACTACTTGGAGATCAATTTAGAGGTCTATCATAGTTGTGTTGAAAAACAGATGGAACCATGTCCAAAGGTCGGGACATGGTTAATGTAATTATATCTATAATAGCTTATGAATACAAATATATGGAAAGATAAGAAATGAGAGTTGCTGTTGCTTTGGCAAAAAAGTCTAATGAGAAGGACTATAGTCAGAAGCTCAAGGGTTGAAACAGAATGCTTACTCAGTAATTTGAAAACTTCAGCTTATGAACAGTACATGTTAATTCATTTGGGATAATTTAAAGTAAATAGAAATAGGTCCTTGAAGAACATTTAAAAATGGAACTAAAAGGCTGGGGGTATGTGTGTGTGTGTCTGAGTGTGTGTGTGTGCGCCCACACACCACACACACACAAATTGTATTCCTATAGCAAAAAAGAATTGACTACTGCTGACTTGTACATCATTAAAAATACTCAATGATTATTTTAACAAAAGCAGATCTTCAAACTATGTTTATATAGACCTCCTCCTCCCCACAAAACCCTCTAACTAATCCACTCTTACTAACACATTTAGCAACACATTTTATTATGACATATATAAATAATACTGGGATCAGTAGGTAACCTGATCTGATTGTTGCCATGAATTGTGAAATAACATTCAGAAACAAAGTTGATATGAGTTTGATAATAGCTTCTTTCATACCAGAGATGAGATTTCTTTTCAGGACTCCATTATAAATAAAGCATGGTGCTCTCAATAAACAAAAGAGTTATAAAGTTCCCAGAGTGGGTTCTTACACATAGGAGTAGTTTATACTCAGTTGCTCAGATCAGGTTTGGCCACTTGCCTAACATTTCTGTTGTGGATGATAAAAAGCCCGAGCTTCTTATCTTTTTCCCTTGCCAGTGTAAGCCCAGAGTCTCAGAATTAGCATTTATCACATTGGTGTTGCTTTGGTAGGTAGGTAGGGATCCACTTCCTCATGGTGAAGAATCCCACAGAAGCATATTTATGGCCCTTCCCTTCACTTTCCATCTTTCTCTGTCCCAGGTATAGAGCCGTCCCACAACTGTGAGCAGGTATTTCCTTGAATGTAGAGAAAAATAGAGAATAAATAATAATAAGAAGAGATAACATCTAAGGAACATTTACTCTGTCCCAGGCACTGTTCTAAGTGCTTTATGGATACTGCTGTTTAGTCCATGTAGCAAATCAGAGAGGTGAGGAATATTATTATCTCTATTTTACCCAAGTGGAAACTGAGGCTCAGAAAAGGTCAGTAACTTCTACTAGGTACATACCTAGTAGAGGGTAAAACCAGGATTCAAGGTCAGTCTGGCTCCAGGGGCCATAGCCATTGTAATTCTAGCAAGTGTTCTTCTCAATCTACTCCTAGCCTTCATGATGTTTCTGGGTCTATCAACTTGTCTTGTTTAAGACTGGTGAGTAGGAACTGTGTCTCTAAGAGGGTTTGACAAAGTTTCTGGCTGCCTTTTTCTGCATAACATCCACTTGAGTTCTTAATAGTTTAAACAGAACCATTACTTATTAACTGGGGGTTTGTATTGACTGAGGTCAGCTGGGAGGTTCTGTTCCACATGTGACATCATTTGGCGCTGTAATCCAGAGGTCTGATTGGCTGGAGCATCAAGGATAGCTCACTTGGTTGACTTGTTCTTGGTGCTGATTGTTGGTTTGGAAGCTCCCTGGAGCTGCCTACTGGTGCCTCATTTGTCCTTCCATGCCATTTGTGTTTCTCAGGCTGTGGTAACTGGGTTTCAGAAAGGTGCAAGTGGAAGTTACAGATTTTTTAAGGCTCAACCTCTGAAGTAACATGGTTTCACATCTCTGCATTTTTTTTTGTTTAAAGCAAGTCATAAGACCAACTCAGATTCAAGGGAGTCCAGTTTTTCTTTTAAAGAGAATTTCCATCCTTAACTCATCATAGGAGATAGCTTTTAAAATGGCTCCTTGTGCTTGCCCTGGTCTCTGTGTTTGGTCCACATGGACTGGCAGGCATAAGCATAGCTGCCCTACTGAGGGCATGTATGGGAGATGGACTCAATCAGGATTTTTGATGCATGTCTTCAAGCACTTTAAGAAGTGATTATTACTGTGATTTATCCCCTGGTGCTCACTGGGAGGTGGGGATGATGAAGGGCAAGGAGCCAGGAAGCAGGTGTGTATGAGAGAAGCATGCTGTGGTAAGTCTGAAATCTTAGTTTTAATTATTTTCTCTCATTGACATTTGAGTTCTTTTAGAAATGGGGTCTAAACCTCTCCATTTCATTCGATTTTAGTAATGCTCATTAATAAGACCCGATAGAAAGTTAACAGATGTATTTTCTACAACATATTTAAATCTTAATTGTTACATCATTAGCTGTAGGAGTTAATTAAATCTGAGGTAATTAAAATGCATTTACCTTCCTACCTACTTGCAGAATCTATTTTATTTATTAATATATCTAAATGATACATTAATGATATTTCGAGAGTAAAGGATAATTCTATTTCAAATCTCATAGTACAGTCTATAATTAGTGAGGTGCAAGAACATATAAGATCAAATTTATTCTGAAGTGTTGGTGACATTATAAGTCAATTAAACCATATTCCAGTTTATGAAGCTTTTAGTAGTTTATCAAGAGATATGGATCTTTGAAGAGGTAACATTTACTAGATAAATCATTGTATAGGAAACTTTCAACTTGCTATAAAAGCAGACTGCACTGCCTACAAATATAAAAACATGTAAATGTGAAGTAATAGCTGTTTCTTTAGACCAGCTTCCTAGACTCTCAGTGCTTCAGTTAGCTCATCTTTATACAGGATAATGACACCAATCTCATACATTATTGTGAGGATTGGAAACACACGTGAAGAGCTCAGAATGGCACCTGGAATGTGGTAGGTGCCATCTGACTTTTGGCTGTGATTATAATTACTTCTCCTCACCCAGGGGGTGGGGACCTTCAGTTGGCCCCTGTTGACAGGTCCTTCGTGTTTTCTTCAGTCTCTTGTCAACAAAGTGACATTAATGATCCCTCTTTCCATGTCATTTAAAGTCTTATTTTATTTTTAATTGACAAATAATAATTGCACATATTTATAGGATATGAGATATGTCAATGCATATATACTTTATGGAATAATGAAGTCCTACTAATTAGCATGATCATCACCTCGAATAGTTATCATGTCTTTGTGGTAAGAATGCCTAAAATCTTCTCTGTTTTGAAATACGCAGTACATTACTGTTAATTACAGTCCTTGAGCTGGGCAATAGAGCCCCAGAACTTACTCCTTTTCTCTAATTGTAACTTTGTACCCATTTGACCAACATCTCCCCTTTCCCAACCACTCCAGCCCCAATCTCTGGTACCGATCATTCTACCTTCTACTTCTGTAAGTTCAACTTTTTGTAGATTCCACATCTCAAGTAATATTATATTGTTATCTATTTCTCTGTGCTAGGTTTATTCCAATTCACATAACGTCCTTTAGTTTCATCCATGTTATAGCAAATGACAGAATCTTGTTTTCTTTTGAAGGCTGAATCGTATTCTCTTGTGTCTAAATACCATGTTTTCTCATCCATTCATCTGTGGATGGTTACTTAGATCATTTCCAAGGGATGCGTGTTAAGAATCCAGTATCGTTCTTTGTCTTTAGATTATTATCTCTTGCTTTTTTGGGGGAAACCCATCTCAGTTTCAGATCAAATTAATTATCATAAATA